TCGGCAATACGAAAGCTGTGAGACCTGTGATCGCTGCGCTGTAGACAAAGCATAAGAAAAACATGCGGTGCATCTTGAACGGGAGGTGCTCGTGCCATACTTGTCCTAGTGAACGCCATGCTGCACGCGCTCCTCTGATGCGGCTCTTGAGTTCTGTCCTGAGAACCCCGTCGAAGCTGATGATCGGTCCAAGGACCCTGACTTCCCGAAGAATTTCTCCCTGTACCTTTTTCTGTCTCCCAAGTTCCCTGGCCGCCTCAAAAGAGCCTGCGCCTGCAAGTGCGATCATGTGGTTCGTCTTATCCATGTTCAGGTGGTGCCCGTTCGTGTTGATGTGCTGCTGCAGTGTGTGCGTCGCGTGGTTAAGCTGCTGTGTGATGTACTTCGCGTTCGGTGCGTATGCATGTACGTGTACTCTGGAAACATCATCTACGAAAAGTCCAATGCCTATGTCCACGGTGGCCTTGCTGATCGGACACTGGCCACGCAGCAGGGAGTAAGAGTAATCTGCCTCCCCCAGATACGAGTTCCACTCGCTCACAGAGGGTGAGTAAATATCAATAAAGTCTCCTGCTGCAAGAGAGTGTCCCATTGTTGTGCCAGTCTGCGGCAAGAAATCGGCTTCACCGTTTATTGCATTGATGTGTATGCTCGCGTTGTCTATCGCCTGGATCATGAGGTGCGTGTTTTCTGCTCTGCTGCAACGGTGGTGATGTGCTTGCAGTTTGTCGCGTGCCGTGCATGCGAACGCGTTCGTGCCATCGTAGTTGGACATGCTGTGGCTTATTCGTGCTGTGCGGCATCTCCAGCAGGCAGCAGATAAACTCAAGATGGCGCCCTCTCTCCGACGACCTCGTATCCCCCCGCGTGCGAAATCTGGCGCCCTCGGTCTTCGAGATGTCCTCTGGAGGTGTCCGAAGTATGACATTCCAAAAGAGTCAAAGCAGTGCAAGATTCTCTGACCTTTAATCCCCTGCTTGGAATTATTCTTAGGCGCTGCGTAAGCCTGTGATCTAATGGCGGTGAGAGGAAAGGCTCCCGTGAGCCGAATAAGTGCCAGTAGATCATTATAACGACGAGAAAAATTGACTGGCACGTACTTCCTGTCATGCTCGTTGGTGTAGCGCCTCTCGTCGATGCCCATGCACAACGCCTCGGCCAGAACGCCCCATGCGGGGCCCGCACGCCGCTTGGGCGCACGTCGCAGATATGTGATCTGGCCAGCTCTGTCCTGTCGCACGTGTTCTGTCAGTTCTGGCGAGCCGTGCAAGTGGGGCATGAACGACTTGTCTGCGGTCCACTCGTCCCAATCTATCTGTCTGCAATCCATTCCTCCATCTTGAGGTTTGCTTCCAAGACCATCTTTCCATTCACTCAGCGTCATACTCTGTCGTGGTGCAAACAGCAGCCTCTTTTTCGGTCCTCGGCCTCGTCCCGCCAGTTGAACCCGCAGTCGATGTACTTCTGCATGTCGTCCCTGCTTCCAAGCCTTAAGAATCTCAGCAGCTAGTGTCTCCATCTTCTCTTTCTTCTGTTCCTTACGTAGGGTCTGCATTCTGCGCGAGAGTCGGCGTAGCTCGTCCTCTATCTCATCGAATGCTGTGCTTCCATTCCCTGTAAAACTCTTCAGCCCCGTCGCATGTAGTTGGTCCCGTAGCCGCCCGCGCATACGCAGTAGTTCCATTCGTCTCTTTCTGTGACCTTCGTAGTCCACTATGTCCTGCTTCTTGGCTGGGAAGACCTGCTGCATTGCCTTGCGTATGCTTTCCGAGAGCTTGTTCCACGCTACCTGGACATCACCTCGATCCCATATTTCACGCCATGGTTCTTCTGGGATGACGGTCGCCTCCTTTTCCAGCTCTCTAAGGTATTCAAGACGTCCCCTGCCGCTGGTATATGCGGCCATCATAGTGTCTCTGTTGACGGCGGGGGTGTACTTGCCATGGAAGACCTCTTGCGGCTTGATGTCAATTTCCATCAGCACTGGGACATGGTCGTGGAGGTGGGTACTTATATATCGTTGCAGTCGCCTTCCTAGCCCCAATAATGTATTCAGTCTTTGTATACGTCCTCTCATGGCTGCTGGTCCCGCTACATGGTCTATCTTACTACTATGGGGTCCTTTGAAGAAAGTAGGCCCCGTCCTCCAGTACGTGTCGAACATGCTGAGGTGATTTTCCTCCAGAAAGTCCCGAACCAGACGAGATACTTGCGATTCGTGTGTCAGTTCGGCCGTGCCAATCTCCTCACTGTCATGTTGCACAAATCTCTTGCCCGTCTGGTCCATTTGGTATCCGAACCCGCAATTCCAATCTCCTGCCACTATCGGTACACATGCATGGCCCAGTTTGTCAATCTCGTCCGATATCCAACGAAGAATCCTTTTTGTCACCTGTCGAAGCGTATTTGCTGCCATCCCCTTCGGCGGCACATAGATCGGGAAGATGGCAATCGACAATCCCTGCATCGCAAATCTCACCATGCCCACTCTGCCTGTGATCCCCAGCTTTGTCGGCGGCACTGCGACCTGCTGTATCGATCCTTGTACGCGCTTGCCGTACAGGACCGCTAACCCGCAGGAGTTGTTCGTCGTGCGCGACTTGCGCCAGCCCATCTGCACGCACTTGTGGTTGGGCAGTTGGCATTGGGTGGCCGTCATGTCGGCGCTCTCTGCCCAGCGTCCAGTTCCTATGCATATCACAAAGTCTGTGCATTTTGTATGTGTGGATATCTCCTCCAATCTCGTAAAATCTGCCCATTGAACGTTATGGTAAATCAGCTTCATTGCGGCAATATGTAATAAGGGAGGGTGGAGTAGATCGTGACTTGCAGGAACTGTCCCAAGTCGGCCCTGGCCCTCGCGTGCCGCCCTCTACGCCTCGCACATCATTGGTCGTGATGGCATGTGGCGCTGTGGGAGCTCGCTCGGGTTTTGGGCCCTGACAGCTCCTAGGAGGAGGAGGAGGAGGAGGAGGAGGAGGAGGAGGAGGAGGAGGAGGAGGAGGAGGAGGAGGGAGGAGGGCGTGGGGGGCCATGGCCCCCCCCCGTGGACGCCACAGCAGGCAATCATCTCATGCTGCCGGGGGCGGCGGGGGAAGGGGGCGGCACGTGGCCTGCTGCGCGCAAAGCCACCATGCCTGTCAACATACAAACGCACCACAACCGTGGGCGCAAACCGGCAAACCCGCACGCACGCACACACACACACACACACAAACACACAAACACACACACACACAGAGAAAAACTGCCGTCACGTGGCAGTAGTGATTGACTGAAGGGGCCCTGGGACACTCAAATAAACACAAATAACAGGATTTCTCATATGTTCCCATCTTTTCTGGGTGCTTGTCTTCCCCCACACTTCCCATATTTTCCCATATTTTCCTGAGAATCGACGATTAATTGTGTCTGTATGTGTTTTTTCCCCTCCTGATTGACAGGGGCTGTTGGGAGGGGGGGGGACGTACTGCCCAATGTGGCACACCTGGTGCACGCGGCGCAGACGGCATGTGCGGCACACCTCGCGGGCGTCGCACACCTACCTGGCTGGCGTCTGCATGGGTTCCCGACGGATGTCGGTGGCGACCCCTGCCCATACCGAGACTCTGGTGCTGCCTGTGTGCTGGGAGGGCGGGTGCGAGGCGGCCTGTCGTTTTTGGGTGGCCTGATCAAAGCTCCCTATTGAGAAGCAACCCCTCCCCCGGGTGACCGGCAACCAACCAAGACCCATGCCGACCCCCCCCCACCATCCGTGGCAAAAAACCGTGCGCAACACACGACGCCCCCAAATCTGGAGCATGCCCAGGCGCCCCGCGACCACTCTGCGTTGGCATCTGACAGGGGCGGCGGGGGCGCCCGCACACTGCTTGCTGCGCGCAAGCCCACCGTTCCTGTCACAGCACGATGCAAAAGACAACCGGACCTGAGACAGAAGCGCATCCCTCAGGAGCACAAGACCCTCCGCCAGCAAAAACACACACAGAACATCCACGGGTGCCCTCCCCAGGATGCACAAGAGCACCCAACCAGACACGAAGAACATCAAGGCACCCTCCCCGAATCGACCTCGATCTTATACCTCGGTCCGACTGTATGTGCGGGCGCCCCGAAACCACTGTGCCTAGGCTTTCGATGAGGATGCACGGGTGCTACTTCTGTGTTGGGAGGGCGGGTGGGAGTGAGCGAGACGGCTTGTGCCTTGTGAGCAGGAGGTGGCTTGACCTCACCCCCCACCCCAACCCCTGGACCTGGACGGGGGCGGCCGCGACCGATTGGAACGTCCAAGATGGCCTCGGCGAGAAAGCAAAAGTCCATGATTGTCCAAACAAGTGAGGGTAGATTCTGGCCTTCGAGGGGAGGGGGGGGCTAATTAAGCACCCCCCTTCTTTGATCGCACTCCTTCAAGATGACCCGCAAATGGCCCCCAAGGCTCCCAAGAGTCCCCCAAGAGGGCCTCAAGAGGCGCCGAGGCGACCCCGAGAGAGAGGTCCCGAAGAGGCCCCCAAGAGGTCCCCAAGAGGTCCTCAAGAGGCTCCAAGAACGGGACCGCCAAGGCCCCGAAGGCGCCCCAAGAGGACCCCAGAGACATCCGAAGAGACTCCGAGAAGCATCCAAGAGGTCTCTGGCCTTTCTGCGCGCCCTCCTCCTCCTCCTCCTCTTCTTCTTTATCCGCATATTCCTCCTCCTCCTCCTTCCTCCCCCCCACTCCCCCCTCCTCTCCCGTCTCTTCCAATGTTTCTTCCATCCTACCCCTCTTGGGGGATGACGGCTTCCCCAACCCCTTATTCCACTGAATGCCCCTCCGCATCACTGACCAGAGCAATTTGCCTGGGCTTTGCTTCTGGATTGGCTGGTGGGGTTACACGAAGCGTCCAGAATCTTGACAGAATCCCCGAGCCTGGGGAGGGCCCCAGAAAGCCAGAAACGGTAAACAAAACTCAGGACTCGTCCTCTCAGGCATCAAAACCTGCCTCCATCATGGCGAATCCCGCCCGCTCCAGTCGGAGCGCGCCCTGCGACGAGCCGGCATCGCCGCAGCCCTGCTGAGGGGCCGCGGCCGGGGAAGGCGGCGAAGGCATGGGCGCGGCGGCCAAGGGCGGCGTTGGCATGCTCAGCGCCTGCGCGGTTCGGGGAAATCGACAATCGACAAGCCCGTTCCACTTCTCGCAAAGTAGCTACTCGCAAATGGCCTGGGGGCGCCAGGGGGACTTACGATGCATTAGCATCGATGCAGGCATGGGTCTGTCGGACGTCTGCAAGTCGGCACTTTGCGAGGAGCGGAACGCGCTCGGTGAGACAGAGGGTGTCTGTCCCTGGCCCAAGGTGCCCCCACTCTCCATCGCTCGGACGTCCATTCCCTGTGCTTTTTGTTGGTATCGTGCGTGGCTTTTTCGCCAAATGCTCAAGGATGCTCCTCGATGGTCCAGGGTTGCCGGGGAGGCCCGAGTGGCCTCTGTAGAGCACTCCTCACGAGGCCCAGGGCCGCCCTCGGCAACCCCCGAGGGCGGGGGGGGCCTGGCGGGAGGTCGCCCAGATGGGGCCGGAGCAGGTGGGGTCGACCGACCACACCGAGTCGCCGATGCACGGGTGGCGTCGGGCTGAAGCAGGGCGAGCTCTGCATCGCCGATGCATCGGCGACGCCGAGCAGCCCTCCGACCCCATCCGCTCCGACCCCGTCAGGGGGCCTGCAAAAGGGGGATGGGATCGAATATCGGGGATCGAGGCCTCGGGACGCTTCGGTACCGCAGCTCCCCAGACCTCTCCAGGGTTGCATCCAGACCAGAACTTCGAGGAGAACCCAGCCGTGGCGACGATGGCCACCTGGGTCGAGCGGTGGCATCGGTATCTCACAGTCGGACCTATTGGCCAGAACGATCCCCTGAAGGGCCATGGGACCCTCCGCCGGCCAAAAACACACACCGAGAACAGCCAAGGGTACCCTCCCAAGGACCTGCTCAAGGACATCCAACCAGACACAAAGAACATATGAATTACTGTACCCTCCCCGAACCGACCTCGATCGTATACCTCGGTCTGGCTGCATCTCCTCCACCGACCTCGGGGACCTCTTCTGAGCCGCCGGAAGCCTCCGCGAAGGAACCTGCTGGAGGCCCCGCGGGGCCCTCCCACAGAGCTGCCTCGCGGGGCGCTCCGCGGAGGGCACCTCGGGCTTCCGGCGACCTCTTACGGCAGATTATGTGCGTCGTGCCGACCTGGGCGTTGGCTCCTGACGCCGCGGGGACCGTTCAAACTCGAACGATCGGCCCGCTCAAAGAAAGGCCGATGTGGGGCCACGCGCGGCGTTCAACCTCACAAACAACCGCGCTGGGGTCGCCGGTCGAGTCGACACGACGCGAGCCTGCCGTAGGGCGGTGGGGGGCAGAGTCAGATCGGGCATGTCCCCCTATATATACAGATGGATGTTGAAAGAACAAGTAAAAAACAAATAGTCCACAAATGCCGTAAAATTGCCAAGCATTGTCAAAACGTCTTCCTCCTGTAGAGGGACACGCCCCACTGACGGGCAGAGGGGACCCCCCCGCCAGCCAGGAGCGGCGCCCCCCCGCCACGCGTGACCTCCCCGCGGGGGGAGGGCGCCGCGCGGCCGCGCCGCGCCCCACGGGCCAGGGAGCAGGCAGAGCAGCACGGCCAGCGGCGCAGAGAGGCCTCTCTGAACGTACAGTCGGGGCGTTGACCTAAGGAACCCTAAATAAGGAACGAGGCCCCTCTTTCCCATAAGTCACACTTCGATGTCCCGTGGGAAACTTAAGGGAAGCCCGAGGCAAACTGCAAAAGGATCAAGGAACACAGAGCCCCTCCCCAACGAAAGGCGTTCCTTCTTCGGGGCCCCGACTGTACAGTGCGGGCGCGGCCGCAAGAAGCCCTCGCAAGAAGCCGAACCCTGAGAGAACCCGTGTCCCGAGGTGCACCCGACGGGACACCTGGAGCACCCTGAACGCAGCAGCTCCTTCAACGGCTGCGGGAAGTCACCGGGCAGCGCGAGGAGCGAAGAAACCCAGGATACCCTGGCGAAATTCAGATGGGTTCTTGATGCGCGCCCCCACTGTACCACTCGGCCGGAAGAAGCAGCTAGAAGCATGAAGCAAGAAGGCGTTGAAAGAAGATTGGGCTCCGTCCGCCCCCTGGGGAGGACGGAGAAGGTGAAGCCACTCGATCATTGAAGCAGGAAGGCGCTGAAGGTAGACTGGGATATGGGAATCCAAGACTACCCACTTTCAACAACCGATGGGTAACCTGTCGGAGAGGTACGCGCGGGCTTCTCGGATCGGCGCTGGACCCCCCTCCCCGGCGCGCGGAGCGCGGAGCGCGCAAGGGGCAGCGCCAGAGGCGCCGCCAAGGGGCCCCAACGCCGATCCAGGCAATCCGCGCGGACCTCCGAAGTGGTGGAGTCGGGCTACAGTCGACCCGTATAAGGATGAACGATGAGGATGCAAGGGCCTTGGACGCCCATTGAAAAGGTTCTCGAGCGGGGCGCGGCCAGCGAAAGCGGCCAAGGATGGGCCGAAGGGGCAAGGATGCAATGGCCCATCCTTACTATGCGGGTCGACTGTATTCTTCTGCCTATCGGCAACCTCCTCAGCTCCAGTGGGGCAGGGGGGGCGGAGGTCTCTGTGCAGCCGAGAGGCAGCGCAGCGAGAGGGGGGAAGAGGACAGTACGATGATGCAACACTTGATTGGGCGACTGGCCGAGCTCCATCGAGGACAGCACGCGGAAGGGGGAGTAGCGCCTGGGCATACGACGCTCCTGGGAGATGTCACGCATAGCACAGACCTTCGCTCAAGAAGGTAAGACCACTATATGGGCCATGCACTCTCCGAGCACGGGATCCGCCCACCCGAGGGACCGCGGCAGAGCCCGAGGGACGCCTGGGGAGGAAGCGGACAAGGAGGAGGAGGGTGGGACAAACACATCGAATGAAGGAGATCGGACTGCGAAAAGAAACAGCTCCTTCAATCCCCCCCCCCTCTCGACACGCTCGCCCGCAGGCGCCGGCCCTCCTCCCCTTCCGCTGCTGCCCCCTGGGGCCCAGACGCCTCCCTGGGGAACCCGAGGAGAGTCCCTGAGGCCTCCAAGCCATGCGCGGGAGACCACCAGGGCCGCCAAGACGCCCCCCCACACCGCCTCAACAGTGCCCGAGCAGCCTCCGCGCGGAGCCCCCAAGAGGCGCCACGGAGGGCCCACGAGGCTCCGACGCACCCCCCCCCCCAGGACGCCCTCCCCAGGAGGCCCCGAGAGGCCCCCCCAAACATGGCCTTCGCTTTCAAAGCTTGTACGCGTTTGCTTTTTCCGCGCCGTTCGGTCCAACACCGCTCCTCTTTCGGGGGCGGCCAAGAGGGGGGGCGCAGATCATGGCCGGCGGCAAGTGCGCGGCCCAGGGGCGGGGCCGGGGACGCATTGAAACGAGAAGAGTCGCCATGAAATCTCAGGAAATATTGGCCTACGCATCCACCTTCCCCTGCCGGCGCCGTAGACGACCCGAGGGGGCTGATGAGGAGGAGGAGGTGGAGGAGGGGAAGGAGGAGATGGAAGAGGAGGAGGAGGAGGAGGAGGAGGAGGAGGAGGAGGAGGAGGAGCAGCAGGAAGAGTAGGAGGGGAAGGAGGAGGAGGAGGAGGAGGAGGCATGGAGCAGGAGGAGGAGGAGGAGGAGGAGGAGGAGGAGGAGGAGGAGGGGTCGCCTAAGCCCTTCGGAGAAACCCTCCACCCCCCCTTAGTCATCTCTGCCCTCTTGGCCGCCGCCGACACTTGCGGTCCTCCAGCACCCAGCAAGGAACCCACCGAGCGCGAGAGCCCCCGGGAAGGCCCCCGGACGGCCCCACGAGAGCCCCGCGGTGGCCCGAAGGGGCCGCCAGAGGGGCCCTCAGGGGCGGCCCGAGAGGCCCCCGCCCACACTGCCCAAGGGGGCCCCAGCACGGCCCACCACTGAAGGGGCCCAGGGACACACAAATAAATATACAAATCCAAGGATTCCCCATATTTTCCAATATTTCTAAGATTTTCGTCTTCCCCCCCCCACTTCCCATCTTTTCTGGGGGATCGACGATTAATTGTGTCTGTGCCCTTTTTCCCTCCTGAACCACGGGCCCGAGAGACTTCCCGAAGACACAGAAAACTTCTCAGAAGGCCGGAAGGCTTCTGAGAAGCCCCGCCGCCTTCTGAGAAGGCCTTCCCCCTCTCACTTCCCCCCTCGCTCGCCGCCGAGATGGAAGAAGAGGGCCCCAGGGGCGAACGGGGGGCCGAGGACACCTCCCTTGGCCAGTTCCCCCCCTGGCGTTGCCCCTGGCTTCAGAGGGTCGATCGAGAGCTTCGAGATAAAGTGGCCCTGCTTAGGCGCCTTGAGGGGCTGCCACCGCGACCCAGTGGAATGCCGAAGGGCGCGCCTTTCTCTGGAGGGGCAACGATAGGAGGGGACTGGCATAGGGGGACGCATAGGCCTATACTCGGCGACGACTCACCGATAGATCCGCGATAGGCCCCCGATGATGCGTCCGCACGTTGCTAGGCAAACTGGGGCTATCGGGCCCCTATCCGGCGATCAATCGACGATTGGGGGTCGGTGCATCCCCTCCTATGCCCATCCCCCCCTTATCTTCGCCCCCGATCTCCACCCTCCGCTCACCATCCCCGCCCCATCCGTTGCCGCTCGCCCCAATCTGGGAACCGCGGTCTTGATCCCGGCGGGGGTGCGTAGACCGAGGAGTACGCGCACGCGCACGCGCACGAAGCAGTGCACGCGGGATGGCGCGCGAACGCGCGCGCCCACGCCTGCACTTGCTTTCGCTGAGGCTCTCGCCCCTGCTCGGTCACGCGCGTGCGCGCTCGCCTTTAACGCGCTCGGGCACACTTGCGCTCTCAGAACGGTGCTATGTGTTGTCTGCGCGGCGTCGCAACGCATCCGCAAAGCAACGACCTCGCCACGAAGGCAATCGTGAACCCAACGGATGCCAGAGTTAGTTCGCACACATAGGCGGTGCACCCACGTGCAAGGGGTCACCGCACATGGATCCAAGTGCCCGCCAACGGAAAGCGCAGGCCAGGCGAAGAAATGCATTAAGCCAT